AGAGGAGGATAGGGGGAAAGGGAGAGGAGGAAAGGGGACAGGAGAGGAGGACAGCAGGAAAGGGAGAGGAGGATAGGGGGAAAGGGAGAGGAGGACAGGGATGAAGGGAGAGGAGGACAGGGGGAAAGGGGGAGGAGGGATAGGGAAAGGGAGAGGAGGGTAGGGGAAAGGGAGAGGAGGATGGGGAAAGGAGAGGAGTATAGGGGAATGGGAGAGGAGGATAGGGGAAAAGGGAAGGAGGATAGGGAAAGAGAGGAGGACAGGGGAAAGGGAGAGGAGGTCAGGGGAAAGGGAGAGGAGAGGGGGAAAGGGAGAGGAGGAAAGGGGACAGGAGAGGAGGACAGCAGGAAAGGAGAGGAGGATAGGGGGAAAGGGAGAGGAGGACAGGATGAAGGGAGAGGAGGACAGGGGAAAGGGGGAGGAGGATAGGGGGAAAGGGAGAGGAGGGTAGGGAGAGGGAGAGGAGAGAGGGGAAAGGAAGAGGAGATAGGAGGAAGGGTAGAGGAGCATAGGGGGAAAGGGAGAGGAGGACAGGGGAAAGGGGAGGAGGATAGGGGAAAGGGAGAGGAGGACATGGGGAAGGGATAGGAGGACAGGGGGAAAGGGGGAGGAGGATAGGGGAAAAGGGAGAGGAGGGTAGGGGAAAGAGAGAGGAGGAGAGGGGGAAAGGCAGAGGAGGATAGGGGGAAAGGGAGAGAGGACAGGGGGAAGGAGAGGACGACAGGGGGAAAGGAGGAGGATAGGGGAAAGGGAGAGGAGAGGTAGGGGGAAGGAGAGGAGGACAGGGGAAAGGGGCCGGAGGATAGGGGAAAGGGAGAGGAGGGTAGGGGGCAAGGAGAGGAGGATGGGGGAAAGGAGAGGAGTATAGGGGGAAAGGGAGAGGAGGACAGGGGAAAGGGAGAGGAGGATAGGGGGAAAGGGAGAGGAGGATAGGGAGAGAAAGGGAGAGGAGGACAGGGGGAAAGGGAGAGGAGGACAGGGGAAAGGAGAGGAGAGGATAGGGGAAAGGGAAAGGAGGATAGGGGGAAAGGGAGAGGAGGATAGGGGGAAAGGAGAGGAGTACAGGGAAAGGGAGAGGAGTATAGGGGGAAAGGGAGAGGAGGACAGGGGAAAGGGAAGGAGTAGGGGAAAGGGAGAGGAGAAACAGGGGGAAAGGGGAGGAGGATAGGGGAAAGGGAAAGGAGGATAGGGGAAAGGGAGAGGAGGATAGGGGGAAAGGGAGAGGAGTACAGGGGAAAGGGGGAGGAGAACAGGGGGAAAGGGGGAGGAGGATAGGGGGAAAGGGAGAGGAGGGTAGGGGAAAGGGAGAGGAGAACAGGGGGAAAGGGGAGGAGGACAGGGGAACGGGAGAGGAGTATAAGGGGAAAGGGAGAGGAGGACAGGGGAAAGGAGAGGAGGTTAGGGGAAAGGGAGAAGGAGGACAGGGGGAAAGGGAGAGAGAGACAGGGGGAAACGGAGAGGAGGGTAGGGAAAGGGAGAGGAGTACAGGGGGAAAGGGAGAGAGGATAGGGGAAAGGGTGAGGAGGACAGGGGGAAAGGGAGAGGAGGATAGGGGAAAGGGAAAGGAGGATAGGGGGAAAGGGAGAGGGGGATAGGGGAAAGGGAGAGGAGTACAGGGGAAAAGGAGGAAGAGGACAGGGGGAAAGGGAGAGGAGGATAGGGGGAAAGGAAAGGAGGATAGGGGAAAGGGAGAGGAGGACAGGGGGAAAGGCAGCAGGAGACAGGGAAAGGGAGGAGGATAGGGGGAAAGGGAGAGGAGGACAGGAGGATAGGGAGAAGGATAGGGGGAAAGGAGAGAGGACAGGGGTGAAGGAGAGCAGGACAAGGGGAAGGGGAGGAGGATAGGGGGAAAGGGAGAGGAGGACAGGGTGAAGGGAGAGGAGGACAGGGAAAGGGAGAGGAGGACAGGGGAAAGGGAGAGGAGGACAGGGGGAAAGGGAGAGGAGACAGGGGGAAAGGGGAGAGGAGGATAGGGGAAAGGGAGAGGAGTACAGGGGAAAGGGAGAGGAGGATAGGGGAAAGGAGAGGAGTTACAGGGGGAAAGGGGAGGAGGATAGGGGGAAAGGGTGAGGAGGATAGGGGGAAAGGGAGGGGAAAGGGAGACGAGAACAGGGGGAAAGGGGAGGAGGATAGGGGAAAGGGAGAGGTAGGGTAGGGGGAAAGGGAGAGGAGAACAGGGGGAAAGGGGAGGAGAGGACAGGGGAACTGGAGAGGAGTATAAGGGGAAAGGGAGAGGAGGACAGGGGAAAGGGAGAGGAGGATAGGGGGAAAGGGAGAGGAGGACAGGGGGAAAGGGAGAGGAGGATAGGGGAAAGGAGAGGAGGGTAGGGGGAAAGGGAGAGGAGTATAGGGGAAAGGGAGAGGAGGACAGGGGGAAAGGGAGAGGAGGATAGGGGGAAAAGAGAGAAGGATAGGAAAGGGTGAGGAGGACAGGGGGAAAGGAGAGGAGGTAGGGGGAAAGGGAAAGGAGGATAGGGGGAAAGGGGGAGGAGTACAGGGGGAAAGGGGAGGAGAACAGGGGAAAGGGAGAGGAGATAGGGGAAAGGGAGAGGAGGGTAGGGGAAAGGGAGAGGAGAACAGGGGAAAGGGGGAGGAGGACAGGGGGAACGGAGAGAGAGTATAAGGGAAAGGGAGAGGAGGACAGGGGGGAAAGGGAGAGGAGTATAGGAGGGAAAGGAGAGGAGGGACAGGGGGAAAGGGAGAGGAGGACAGGGGGAAACGGAGAGGAGGGTAGGGAAAGGGAGAGGAGTATAGGGGAAAGGGAGAGGAGGACAGGGGAAAGGGAGAGGAGGATAGGGGAAAGGGAGACGGAGGGTAGGGGGAAAGGAGAGGAGTATAGGGGAAAGGAGAGAGGAGGACAGGGGGAAAGGGAGAGGAGGATAGGGGGAAAAGAGAGAAAGGATAGGGGAAAGGGTGAGGAGGACAGGGGGAAAGGGAGAGGAGGATAGGGGGAAAGGAAAAGGAGGATAGGGGAAAGGGAGAGGGGATAGGGGAAAGGGAGAGAGTACAGGGGAAAGGAGGAGGAGGACAGGGGAAAGGAGAGGAGGATAGGGGGAAAGGGAAAGGAGGATAGGGGGAAAGGGAGAGGAGGACAGGGGGAAAGCAGAGGAGGACAGGGGAAAGGGGAGGAGGATAGGGGAAAGGGAGAGGAGGATAGGGGGAAAGGGAGAGGAGGATGGGGGGAAAGGGAGAGGAGTATAGGGGAAAAGGGAGAGAGTATAGGGGGAAAAGGAGAGTAGGACAGGGGAAAGGGAGAGAGAGGATAGGGGGAAAGGGAGAGGAGGATAGAAGGAAAGGAGAGGAACAGGGGGAAAGGAAGAGGAGGACAGGGGGAAAGGGAGAGGAATAGGGGGAAAGGGAAGGAGGACAGGGGGAAGGGAGAGAGGACACGGGGAAAGGAGAGGAGGACAGGGGGAAAGGGAGAGGAGGATAGGGGAAAGGGAGAGAGGACAGGAGGATAGGGAGAGGAGGATAGGGGAAAGGGAGAGAGGACAGGGGTGAAGGGAGAGCAGGACAAGGGGGAAGGGGGGAGGAGGATAGGGGAGAAGGGAGAGGAGGACAGGGGTGAAGGGAGAGGAGGACAGGGGGAAAGGGAGAGGAGGACAGGGGAAAGGGGAGAGGAGGACAGGGGGAAAGGGAGAGGAGGACAGGGGGAAAGGGAAGAGGATAAGGGAAAGGAGAGGGAGGACAGGAGGATAGGGAGAGGAGGATAGGGGAAAGGGAGAGGAGGACAGCGGTGAAGGGAGAGGAGGACAGGGGGAAAGGGGGAGGAGGATAGGGAAAGGGAGAGGAGTGTAGGGGAAAGGGAGAGGAGGATAGGGGGAAAGGGAGAGGACAGGGGAAAGGAAGAGGAGGATAGGGGAAAGGGAGACGAGGACAGAGGTGAAGGGGAGGAGGATAGGGGGAAAGGGAGAGAGGACAGGGGGAAAGGGAGAGAGCATAGGGAAGGGAGAGAGGACGGGGAAAGGGAGAGGAGGATAGGGGGAAAGGGAGAGGAGGACAGGGGGAAAGGGAGAGGAGGGTAGGGGGAAAGGGTGAGGGAGGATAGGGGGAAAGGGAGAGGAGGACAGGGGGAAAAGGGAGAGGAGGATTAGGGGGAAAGGGAGAGGAGGATAGGGAGAAATGGAGAGGGAGGACAGGGGGAAAGGGAGAGGAGGACAGGGGGAAAGGGAGAAGAGGATAGGGGGAAAGGGAAAGGAGGATAGGGGAAAGGGAGAGGAGGATAGGGGAAAGGGAGAGGAGTACAGGGGGAAAGGGAGAGGAGTATAGGGGGAAAGGGAGAGGAGGACAGGGGGAAAGGGAGAGGGGGATAGGGGAAAAGGGTGAGAAGGATAGGGGGAAAGGAGAGGAGGACAGGGGAAAGGGAGAGGAGGATAGGGGGAAAAGGAGAGGAGGACAGGGGGAAAGGGAGAGGAGGACAGGGGAAAGGGAGAAGAGGATAGGGGGAAAGGGAAAGGAGGATAGGGGGAAAGGGAGAGGAGGATAGGGGGAAAGGAGAGGAGTACAGGGGGAAAGGGGAGAGGAGGATAGGGGGAAAGGGAGAGGAGTACAGGGGGAAAGGGGGAGGAGGATAGGGGGGAAAGGGTGAGGAGGATAGGGGGAAAGGGAGGGGGAAAGGGAGAGGAGAACAGGGGGAAAGGGGGAGGAGGATAGGGGGAAAGGAGAGGAGTATAGTGCGGAAAGGGGGAAAGGGGGAGGAGGACAGGGGGAACGGGAGAGGAGTACAGAGGTGAAGGGGAGGAGGATAGGGGGAAAGGTTGAGAGGGTAGGGGGATAGGGAGAGGAGGATAGGGGGAAAGGGAGAGGAGGACAGGGGGAAAGGGAGAGGAGGATAGGGGGAAAGGGTTGTGAGAATCTGAAGTGATGATTGTATTAGGAAAAGAGTGGGTATACATAGGTGAAGAGTAGGAGGGAGGGGGGGGTTTTGGTTGGGAGGTGACCACGATTATTGGTGACCCCAATAAGTTGAGTTGGCCAACTTATTGGGGGTCCAATGATCCTAGCCAAGATTATTGGTGGGTCCAATAATCTTTGTTGGGATTATTGGGGGCTCCAATAATTGGGAGTCCAACCAATTTGGGAACCCAACAAGGTTGAGAACCCAACCCCCAACTTGGGTGTATACACCCTAGTGGGGTGCTTATAAGTACCTAAGACAATGAAACGATGTAGGCTAATAGAATGAAGGGAGAATATTCTAACACAACCCCTTAGCCTACAGAGTGCCATAAGACTTGGGAAGGTGAGGAGAAGCAACCCCTGAATCAGGTAGTCCCCTGTGAGGGAGGGGCAAGACCCAGAAGGCGAAGGAGAGCCGCATGGGGACGACGAGGGAGGGCCTTGGTGAAGATGTCTGCAAGGTTGGCTGAAGAGTCAATCTAGCGCACGGTGAGGTGTCCAGCGTGGACGAGCTCACGAACGAAGTAGTGTCGGAGCTCGATGTGTTTGGAGCGACCATGGAAAACGGCTTCCTTTGTGAGGTGGATAGTACTGGCATTGTCGCACCAGATGGTGGGACAGGGCTGGGGAGCATCCAGCTCAGCGAGGAGGAAGCTGAGCCACCGCGCCTCCTGGGCTGCCATGGTGACGGCGTAGAGCTCTGCTTCGCAGGAGGAGAGAGCGATCGAGGAGGAGCGGGTGGAGCGCCAGGAAATGAGGTCGCTCCCGAGGGAGAAACCATACCCCTGTGAGCTGCGACGATCGGGCTGAGAATCCGCCCAAGAGAAGTCGCTATAGCCAGTGAGCTGAGGAGGGGTGGGGCCACCCAAGGTGAGGACATAGTCCTTGGTGCCTTTGATGTAGCGGAGAACGCGCTTGGCCGCTTGCCAGTGCTCGGGAGTGTGTTTGCCAGCGCCGACAAAGCGCGCCAGGACACTGATAGGGTAGGCGAGGTCGGGGCGAGTGCACATCATGGCGTACATCAGGGACCCGACCAGCTCAGCGTAAGGACTGGTGGAGGAACCGTGGGTGGATGTCGGCGAGAGCTGGTGGCCGACTTGGAGGGGTGTGGAGACGGGTTTGGCCGTGGCCATCTCGAAGCGTTCAAGGACCTTCTCGAGGTAGAATGCCTGAGAGAGGGAGATGGTCCTGGCTGCACGATCGCGAGAAATCTCGATCCCGAGGTAGTTGCGGACCTCCCCCAGGTCCTTGCAGAGGAGGCGCTTCTGCAGCTCATCCTTGACCTGTTGTAGGTCTGCTTCGTTGTCAGCGGCAAGAAGCATGTCGTCGACGTAGACGAGGATGTAGAAGGGGGAGGGGGAGGTGCGCAGGAAGAGGCAGGAGGAAGCCTGGGAAGGGCGAAAACCAAGAGCACGGAGAGTGCTCGAGAGCTTGGCATGCCATTCCCGAGGAGCTTGCTTGAGGCCGTAGACCGGGCGGCGAAGTTCCCAAACGGTGTTGGGAGGGAAAGGGAGGTGCCAGCCCTCGGGACGCTCCATGAAGATGCGCTCATGGAGTTCACCTTGGAGAAATGCCGTGGTGACATCCATCGAGTGCAGGATCATGCCGCGCCGGCCGACGAAGTCCAAGAACACGCGGACGACAGGGGGAGTGGCGGTCGGCGAGTAGGTGTCAAGGAAGTCATGGCCGTACCGCTGCGTGAATCGTTTGGCGCAGTAGCGGGCCTTATAGATCGGGTCGTCGCCAGGGAGGAGCTTGACCCGAAATACCCATTTGCCCTTGACCACGTTGTGGTTGAGAGGGCGGGGTACGTCGATGAAGGTGCCGTTGCGGACAAATGCCTCATTTTCTTTGAGGACTGCCTTGCCCCAATGAGGGTGGTCGGGGCATGTCATAGCTTCGTGATAATCTCCCGGCTCGAAGATGATGGGCGCGCCGGAGAAGACAAGTACCGGGGCGCCGGTCATGCTGAAGGCGACTGCTTGGGTGTTGGAGAAGAGGTGGAGGCGAAGAAATTCACCATGGGAGTCTTCGATGAGGAGGGGAGAGAAAGGAGGAGGAAGGGAGGGTGGTGATGCAAGTCTGCTGCGCTGCTGAGGGGGGAGGCTGCGACACGGCGACTCTGCGACTCGGCTGCACGGCTGCTGGACTGGGGCCACTGCTGCGGCGGATCCTGACGCTGCGGGTGCGGCGACCGGGGCAGGCACTGGTGCGGCGGCAGGAGCTGCTGCGGCGGGTGCGGAGGTGGAAGCAGAGGGTGCTGGAGCGGGTGCCTTTGCCTGAGGGGAGGGAGGGGCTAAGGGCGGACCAAAGAGGGGATCCATGGACCGAGTATGAGGGCGGTGGCGAAGGACAAGGGGAGAAGACACCTGGGGGGGTGGAGGAGGAGGTGGGGGAGATGGGGGAGGAGGGGGGGAAGGAGGTGGAGGGGGAGGAGGTGGGGAGAAGGGGGAGGATGGAGCGGAAGCGGAGTGAGAGGGAGAGGGGGGGAGTAGTGGGTCAAGGATGTCACCTGAGGAAGATGAGGAGGGAGAAGATTCGGGAGGAGGAGGTGCTGGGGGTGGGGGAATAAGAAGGAGAGGGGGGAGGAGGGGGGGGGTGACAGTGTCAGAGGGGATGAAGGGGCGAGGAGGAATGGTGAGTGGGTCAGGTGAGGCAGGAGAGGTGTAGTACGGGGAGGATTCGTCAAAGATGACGTCCCGACTACGAATGAGGCGACCTGAGGGGGGATGAAGGAACAGGTAGTCAGGGGAGGAGGTGTTGTGACCAAGGAATACACAGGGTAGACTCTTGGAGGCGAGCTTCCCTGCTGTGCGTGAGCGGTCGGCCGGGTGTATGAGAACATACGCCCTGGAACCCAAGACGCGCAGGGGGGAGACGTCGGGTTTAGTTGACGTCCACAGCTCGGTGGGGGTGGTGGAGGGGAGGAGAGGGTGGGGATAGAGGTTAGTGAGGAGGACGGCGTGGAGAAGAGCGTAACCCCAGAGAGAAGGCGGGCAGGAGGCGTGAACGAGAAGACACCTGGCGGTCTTTGTAACTTCTTGAACACGAGTTTCTGCCACGCCATTCTGCTGAGGGGAGTGAGGGAGGGTGTAAGTGTGGTGAATACCATGGGTGGAGAAATAGGAAGAGAGATGGTGATTGAGGAATTCACTGCCGCCATCGGAATGGAAGCGGCGAACGGGACGACCGAAGTGGGTGCGCGCCTGCTCGGCCCAGGCGATGATGAAGGCCGGTGCCTCGGCCTTCGTGCGAAGGAGGGAGACCGAGGTGTATTGTGAGCGGTCATCGACCAGGACGAGGAGGTAGCGGTGCCCTTGACGGGTGGGGGAGGGGTTGGGGCCCCAGAGATCCATGTGGACAAGATCCAGGAGCTCTAGGGCGCAAGAAGGGTAACTTTTATGAGGAAGCTGCTTGAGCTTGCTCTGGACACAGATGGTGCAAGGGGGGGCGGGGGAGGGAGGGAGTGGAGGGAGAGTGAGGGGAAGGCCATTGAGGAGCCCGGAGGCGACGGCCTTGTGGAGGGTGGCAAAGTTGGGGTGACCTAGGCGATGGTGGAGGAGGATGGCAGGATGTGTAAGATCACGACAATGGCACTGAGATGGGGGGGGAGCAGGAGGGGTGGGAGGGGAGGTGGGGGGAGGTTGCGGAGGAAAGAGAGGAGGGGGGTGGGGAGGGATGGTGGAGGTAGTGTGACAGGCTGATGGACGGGGAGTGTGAAGGGTGTACATGCGAGTGCGAGGACACATGGGAACACGGACGATGAAATGACTCGTGGATGAGTGAAACAGGTCGCAGTGGGTGGCGTGGCCAGGGTAGATTGTTGTGACCCCGGCCCGTTGAAGTGCACCTTGGGAGACAAGGTTAGTGCGAAGGGAGGGGACATGGAAGCCAGTTACTGAACCTGAGGGGAAGAGGGGGCAGGGAAGAGTGGAGGTATGGCGGGAGGTGACCGAGAAAGTAGAATCGGCTCCAATGATGGTGGAGGGGTTAGGGAGGGGGGTGAGGGCACCAGCGTCACGAAGGACTGTGACACTGGCGCCGCTGTCAATGACAAACTCAATGGAAGGAGGGGTGGGGTGAGACACGGAGTACTGGAAGGAGGTTTCATTAATAGACTCGGGATACATTGGAGGAATAGCAGGAGAAGCATGGCTAACATGGTTGATGAAGCCAGGAGAGGGAAATGGGGTAAAGCCAGGAGGTCCGGTGGGGGCCTGCGCAAGAGGAGCCGGAGCAGAGAGGCCGGAGCTCCAGGCGGAGGGAGGGGAGGGTTGCTGCTGAGACTGCTGGTGCTGCTGAGATTGTTGCAGCTGCTGGAGGAGTTGCTGCAGGAGCTGCTGCGGCTGCTGCTGGGACTGCTGCGGCTGCTGGATCTGCTGCGGCTGCTGAGTCTGCTGCGGCTGCGGGGACGGAAGGAGGGGCGTGACCTGCTGGAGGATCTGTGGAGGGAGGTGCTGTGCGAGGATGTGGTGGAGAGAGGTAGAGGAGGGATGATAGGCGGGGAGGGTACGAACATCAAAGGGAGTGGGAGGTGGAGTGATAGCGGACCAGCGAGGGGGCGTGCCCGTGTTGGCTCGATCAAGCCACTCATTAGTGAGGGCCTTGAAACATGTGGTGGTGGCATGGGTGGTTTGGAGGCAGCGCTTACCCTTGTTGGGGCCGTTGCGGATGAGATACTGACATGGGGAGAAGCCGCCGGTGCTGTTGGAACCAGTGCTACCCCCGCGTCCTCCACTGCGCCCCCCGCCACGTCCACCACCCGATCGTCCCGCCGGAGTACCGCCACGGCCAGCACCACGTCCTCCTTTTGCTTGGGCAGCATGAGCCGTCGGAGGAGACTGGCGGAGAAGCTCCGCTTCAGTTTTCAGAATCCACGCGGCTACACAGGCGGAGTCGGGTGGGAAGCTGGCGTGAACCTCATTGAACGCCACGCGACGGGCCTCATACATGGGTGTGAGACCGTCGAGGAGGCGGCAAACGATGAGGGAGTCGGGAAGGGGAGAGCGACGATCGGCAAGGCGTTTGGCAGTGGTGAGGAGGCGGCGCGTGAAGGAGAGGGCGTTGGGGCAGGAGTCGAGGTTGATGTCGAGGAAGGCGCGGTGGAGCGCTAGGAGAGAGTTGGTGTCCTGGAGGTCATAGGTGGCACATAGCTCTTTCCAGAACTCGGGAGCGGAGGAGGGGGTTATTTCGCGTTTGAGGGAGGAAGGAACGCATGCAGACAGGATAGCGAGACATTTGCGGTTGGCAATGTTCCAGGCAGAGTGGCGACGACGGTACTCACGAAAGTCGTCAGCATACTTAGCCATGGCGTCCTTGTGCTGCTGGAGAAGTGTGTTGGCAGCGTCGTGCGCAGCTTGCTCTGCGTCATACGCGTGCTGGAGGAGAGTGTACTCCGCAAAGTCCTTGTCATACTGGTGCTGCACGCGAGCCCATCGATCAGGGTCATCGGTGTAGACCAGTGGGGAGGGCTTGGTGGGGGCCGGTCCCGAGGGGGGTGGAGGTGGGGCGGGAGGTGCAGGGGAGACATCAGCAGGATGCTCTGGGGGCTGCCCTGCGTCAGTGCCAAGGAGAATGTCGAGGAGGCAGTAATCGTTGATGATTGCGGATCCGAGGACATTTGTGAGGCTTTGGGCAAAGGTAGCCCAGTTGACAGGGACAGCGTCGTCGATGAGCTCGAGGACGTCGATGGTGGAGATGTCGACGGTGAGTGCTTCGGTGGTCATGGTGGAATTGCGGGTGCTGATGCTGTTGCTGCTGGGGATGAGGGGAGAGGGGAGAAGGAGGAGGTAGGGGAGGGGGCGAAATATGGCTGCTGCAGATGAGGCGGTTGCTGCTGCTGGTGGGAGGAGGAAGGGGAAGAGGAGGAGGTGGAGGGGGGAGATGCGGCTGCTGCGGCTGATGAGGGGAGTGGGGAGGAGGTGGAGGGCGGTGGAGGGTGTGGCGGCGGCTGCTGATGCGGCGACTGCGGCTGATTGGGGGGGGGGGTGCGGCTGCTGCTGTTGGTGGGGAAGGAGGAGAGGAAGGGAGGGAGGAAGGGGGGGAGGAGGAGAGGAAGGGAGGGAGGAAGGGGGGAGGAGGAGAGGAAGGGAGGGAGGAAGGGGGGAGGAGGAGAGGAAGGGAGGGAGGAAGGGGGGGGGGAGGAGGAAAAAGGCGGGTGCGCGGAGCGCAGCTCTTAAGTCGCCGACGCGACCTTCAGCGGGCGCCGACGCGAAAGGCGACGGCCAGCGCGGATGGCGACGATCGGCAGCTGTGGGCAGTTGCGTGCGGTGCACGCCGGCACAGAGGTCAGCCCGGCCGAATCCCGCTTGTTAGGCGGGGGCGCCGGGACTGCACAAAGGGCGAGGAGGCGACGGAGTGCGGAGGAGACGGCGTGTCGAAATATGGCGGGAGGGCCGCGTCAAGATGGTGCGGGAGCGCCGCGTCAAATTGCGGCGGAACGTCGCGCCGAAATGCGACCGAGTGCCTGCGTCGAAATGCGGCCGAGCGCTGCGTCGAGATGCGGCCGAGCGCCTCGTCGAAATGCGGCCGAGCGCCGCGTCGAAATGCGGCCGAACGCCGAGTCGAAATGCGGCAGGAGCGCCGCGTCGAAATGCGGCTAGAGAGCCGCGTCGAAATGCGGCTAGAGCGCCGCGTCGAAATGCAACAAGAGCGCCGCGCGAAAACGTAGCGATTAAGGGCGCGAGGAGGGGCGCTTATGGGCGCGGGGAGGGGCGCTTGTGGGCGCGGGAAGGGGTGCTTATGGGCGCGGGAAGGGGCACTTAAAGGCGCGGAGAGGGGCGCTTAAGGGCGCGGGGAGGGGTGCGTTGGGCGCGAGATGGCTAGGGATCGAACCACGGAGAGGCGTGAGCCATAAGCTCTGAAACCATGTGAGAAACTCAAGTGATGATTGTATTAGGAAAAGAGTGGGTATACATAGGTGAGGAGTAGGAGGGAGGGGGGGGTTTTGGTTGGGAGGTGACCACGATTATTGGTGACCCCAATAAGTTGAGTTGGCCAACTTATTGGGGGTCCAATGATCCTAGCCAAGATTATTGGTGGGTCCAATAATCTTGGTTGGGATTATTGGGGGCTCCAATAATTGGGAGTCCAACCAATTTGGGAACCCAACAAGGTTGGGAACCCAACCCCCAACTTGGGTGTATACACCCTAGTGGGGTGCTTATAAGTACCTAAGACAATGAAACGATGTAGGCTAATAGAATGAAGGGAGAATATTCTAACAGCCAGGTGCCGCTCCAGCGGCAGCGCTGCTGGGACCAGTCCCACCGCTTCCCCCACTGCTACTGTCGGCACCACGGCCACCTCCACGGCCACCACGAGGGCGGCCACCACGGGAGCGGCTAATGCGGCGTTGAGTTCGGCGGAGGCAGGCTGGGCAGCGTGGAGAGTGGCGGTGGGCTCCTAGAGGAGCTTGACCTCGGTGTCGATGATCCATTGCACGACAGTGGGGAGGTCGGCATAGGGGTCGCTCTCAGTGAACGCGATGATGCGCATGTCACACTAAGGGGTGAGACCGTGGAGGAGGTTGTGGATGTGGAGCTCAGGAGGCAACACAACACGACGAGCCTCAAGACGAGAGGCAATGTCGAGGAGGCGGCTGGTGAAATCGACAGCGCCATTGCTGCTGTCGAGCGTGATGCTGTTGTACTCGCGAAATAGCATGCCAAGCGAGCCGATGTCGCGACGCTTGAACATGGCGTGGAGCTCAGTCCACAGCTGAGCGGCAGGGAGCTCTCGAGCTTGGAAGCGCCGCATCATGTCGACGGGAAGAGCACCGAGGACAATGGTGGAGGCGCGCAGGTCAGCCTCACACCATGCAGCGATGGTGACGGCATAGGTCGCCTTCTGTTGTGCCTAGCGAGCGGCTTGCAGGCGATGATCCGCGGCACGTTCGGAGGCGAGGTCGAATGCCTGCTTCTTGAACTTGTAGTTGGCGCGCCGCTGTAGGAACTTCTGGCAGGCGTCGTCATAGGCCTCTTTGGCAACACGCTCGGCCTCAGGGTCGTCCGGCTGCGCGGGAGGGACCTCAGGTCGCTCTAGTGAATCTCTAGGGTTGCGAGGGACATCAGGCTCAGGACCGGGATCGACGGGCGTGGTGGGGCGAAGGGCCGAAGCCTTACGCTAAGGATGTCGAGCAGCTTGTACGGCTGGACCCAAGCGCCGCCGAGGACTCGCTAGATACTCCCAACGAAGGAGTACCAGTTGGTGGCGGACTTGTCTGCGGCCAGCAGGAGCTTGTCAACGGATGAGGCGTCGACGGGCGGAGGGAAGGACACCATGAGGTTGGGTGCAGCGCAAGCAGGACGCGCGCGGCGGCACAGAGAGGAGCGACTGCGGGTGGACCCGCGCGGCTCGGGGAGGCGGCGGCGGCGAGGGAACTCGCCGCGGCACAGCGAGGAGCGACAGCGGGTGGACCCGCGTGGCTCGAGAAGTCGGCGGCGGCGAGAGAACTCGCGGAAGCACGGCGAGGAGCGACAGCGAGTGGACCCGCGTGGCTCACGAAAGCGGCAGCGGCGGGCGGGCTCGCGGCGGCACGAGGAGGGAGCGACGACGGGTGGACCGGCGCGGCTCAAAAGAGTGATGGCGGCTCCGTGGAGCAGCGGCAACGGCTGCCGAAAAGAAGGGCAGCTACGGGGGCTGGCGACGGAGCGGCGGCGGCGGTTGCTGGCAGGAGCGGCGGCGGCCGGTGGCACAGTGGCGGCGGCGGCTGCAAGTGAGACGGCCGGCGGCGACGGCTGCTACGAAGAGGAGCAGTGGCAGCGGCGGCCGGGTGGAAACACAGCGACGTCGGCACGTGACAGCAACGGCTGTGGCTGCTGCTGAGGACAGGAGCAGCTGCGGTTGTGGGGGGAGAGGAAGCGGCGGCGGCTGCTGGAGGGAAGGGCAGCGGCGGTGGCGGGAATTTGGGGGGGGGGGGGTGGCAGCGGCGACTGCTGGTGGGAGGAGGAGCAGCGGCGGCGGATGAAAGGGAGAGGGGAGGCAGTGGCGGCTGCTGGATGGAGCAGCGGTGAGCGGCGAGGGCTTATGCTAGGTTTTTAGGGCGCTCGGACAAAAAGGGCGGGTCTTCAAAAGTTACCCTTCAAATAACGGCTCAGAGAAAATCGTCCCTTGGAAAAAGGAGCTTGCACGAAAACCACTCGTAGGACTCGAACAAGACTTCCTTGGGATATAGAAATTGCACGACCACTGAGGCAGTCGTTAGGATCAGTAAGGCCTCCATTTACCACACGCGCAACAAAATCCCAAGGCACGACTCTGCCTTAGCGTTGGCATGAAAACCTAGACACACTTTGTCTCAGAGACAGATTTGAAGCTGGAATATAGGTTTGCTTTACGAATACACAGGAGTGAGACAAGTCAGAGAACGGCGAGTGAGAGGGAGGGAACGAAATCGCCACAGACTGGGGAAATATGATGGGTGTGAAATGACAAACCAAAGGGGGGCAGGGACGTGGGGGGGAGGGGGGGGGGTAGAGTTAAAAAATAAACGGGTTTCCCTGAAAACTATCCGTACAGAAAGGGTGGCGCCCAAAACAGCCCTGAACTTCACGGGAGGGTTTTTTCCGGACCCTTTGAGCTACAGGGTCCAGCCAAAATCTGCCTTGAAAATCAGTCAGAAACGGGCATTTACCCTGTTAGCATAAGCCCTGGCGAGCTGGCGGCTGGCGGCAAGTGGCGAGCTGGCGGCCAGCGGGGAGAGGGCGGCTGGCAGCGAACGGCGAGCTGGCAGCTGGCGGTGAGCGGCGCTTGAGTGACTAGCGGCGAGCGGCAGGCGACGAGCGGCGAGCTGGCGAGCGAGCGGCTAGCGGGGAGTGGGCGGGTAGCGAGCGGCGAGCTGGCGGCTGACGTCGAGCGGCAAGCGGCGCGCGAGAGGCAGGTGGCGAGTGGCGAGCTGGCGGCTGGTGGCGACTAGGGAGCGGCAAGCGGGCGGCTGGCGGCGAACGGCGAGCGGCGAGCGACCTGCGGCGAGCGGCGAGCGGCAAGCTGGCGGCTGGAGGCGAGTGGCGAGCGGCACGCGAGCGACTGGAGGCGAGTGGCGAGCGGCACGCGAGCGGCTGGCGGCGAGCGGCAAGCTGGCGAGCGGCTTGCGGCGAGCGGCGAGCGACGAGCGGCTGGCGGCGAAGCGGCTTGCGGCGAGCGGCGAGCAGCGCGACGAGCAGCGAGCGGCGAGCGGGGCAGCGAGCGGCTTGCGACGAGCGGCGAGCGGCTTGCGGCGAGCGGCGAGCGGTTTGCGACGAGCGGCGTGCGACTTGCGATGAGCGGCGCGCGGCAAATGGCGAGCTGGCGGCCAACGGCGAGCGTCGATCGACGGGCTGCGGGACGGCGCGCAGGCAGCGGCGAGCTGACGCGGCAGGCGGGGAGCGGCGAGCTGGCGGGGAAGGGACAGCGCTGGCAGCTATGGCTACGGCACTAGGGATGAAGGGGCGAGCTGGAGGCTAACGAGCGCTAGGAGAACGGCGAGGAGGGGGAGGACGCGGCGGCTAGGGAGAATCTATCGGCGGCGTGGGAAATAGACGAGGAGGAGGGGGGCGGCGAGATTGCCGGCTAGGAAGGAGAGAGGAGCGGCGGAAGCGGGAATGCCTCACTGGGGGTCATGACTACAGCTGAGGGAGGGTGGGCTAGGATCGAAAAAAAAAACGGGATGTGGCGTGAGCCTTGGAGCTCTGAAAGCATGAAAGCATGAAAGCATGAAAGCATGAAATAATTCAAGAAGTTGCTTTGAGTAGTGGAATCAAGAGCACACATAGGAAAGTTGGGAAGGAAGGGAAGCTAGCAAGAGAAGGATGAACAGTGCCACATGCAGTTGGGTAGAACATTACCCAACCACCATGGGAGCCACTTGCGTGGTCCCAATATTGTGGTCTTGGTGCTTGGAGGCTCCAACCACTCTAGGGTTGGATTAACACCCCTTGCACGTAGATGTGTACACCACAGGTTGGTGTACACCTAGCTAATATACTAGTCGAGCATGCTACAATATATGTTTATAATCTAACAGTATGCATATGCACTGGCACAAGGATAAGGCATACTCGGCAAGTAGCCTGTGAGTGAGTCCACTATCCAGATGCTGGTGGAGAATCAGGTGGATCACTTCTGCTTGAGACCCGATCGTTGTGGTAGAATGCTCGCCAACAAACTGTCACCCTCCCACCACCATCCCCCCTCCACCCTACACTCGCACCCCTTCCTGGGCCATTGCAGTGTCTTATTGCACAGGAAGCGGTGTCCATGCACGCACGGCACTACCCCGCACCTTTCCCCTTGAATTCTCTCGCCTCTCCTCCCCCTCCTTCCCCCATCCCCCCTTTAGCCTCATGGTGTGCTGCACATGGTGCCAGTGCGCGCACAGCAACGGCTTGCTGCTCCTCTCTTTCGACTCTTTACTACACCGTGCCCCCCCCCCGCCCCTCCCCTCTCTCACACAACACACACGCAGCCTGATGGTGCGCAGTGTGTGGTGCCCCTGCACGCACAGCAACGGCAAGCTGCTCTCTGACGCGCTCTCCCTGCTCAACCTCTTTCTGGAGGAACTCCCCGAGGTGCTCTGGGAGCCGCTGCACGCCCAGAGGGGGGCGGGGATGGGCTCAGGGGAGGGGGAGGGGGGAGGAGGAGAGGAGGAGGAGGGCGGTGAGAGTGAGGAGATGGAGGACGCTGGGCGGGCGAAGAAGGCAGTGTGGCGGCACCTGAGGCATCTGCAGCAGGCAGTGTCCCTGCTGGTGGGTGCAGAGCGGTGCTGGTGGGTGGAGTGCAGTGCTGCTCACAGTAATGCTACGATGTTTCACGCTCGTCCTTGTTGTGCTCCATTACCATCTCCCTGTCTCTTATTTGCTATCTCCTATCCCCCCCCCTCCTCTCTCCCCCCCCCCAAATCAGGCCATGGAGCACACGATGTCATGCACCCTCCCGCACCTGCGCTCTCTCTGCCCGGACGAGAACGCGAACCAGCTCGTGCACCTGTGCGTGTGGCATCAGGACGACCGCTACAGCACACATTGGCTTCCATCCTCCCTCTTCCTCTCTCCCATCTCCCATCTCCCCCTCCCTCTAGGCCATGGAGCACAAGGCCTCGTGCACCCTCCCGCACCTGCGCTCTCTCTGCCCAGACCTGAACGCGAACCAGCTGGTGCACCTGTGCGTGTGGTACCAGGACGACCGCTACTGCACACAGGGGCTGCCGGCAGCCGTGGTGGACCAGCTGTGGGGCGAGGTGGACGAGCGCACGCCCATGCTGCTGCAGGAGACGACACGGTAGGCCCTTCTTCTGCTTTACAGATTGTGGGAGTGGGCTTTTACTGTGACAGCTCTCGGGTGTTCGTGGTAGCCGCGGTCGACCAGCTGTGGAGCAAGGTGGATGAGCACACGCCCATGGTGCTGCAGGAGAGTGGAAGGTGGGTGGCGTTGTGGATCTGAAGTAGATCTGTAGCAGAGAATTAGGTCTGTAGCAGAGAAGTCAGTTTGTAGCAGAGAAGTCAGTTTGTAGCAGCTACAGCACACAGAGGCTGCTGGCAACTGTGGTGGACCAGCTGTGGGGCGACGTGGACGAGCGCACGCCCATGCTGCTGCAGGAGACGACACGGGTTGCGTTGCGTCATGAGATGAGTGGAGCGGCTTGCTGTTGTGATGACAAGTCATTGCAGTGTGGAGTGGTTCCCCCCTTCGTCCACCACCCATTGCACCATACGCCACATGCGTACACCCCACATGCATACACTGCACATACTCATACCCAAAAAATTCATACCCCAGATTCTCATACCCCCCTACTTCCCTCACAGCGCAGGTCCCCTCTGAGCATAGCGGACAGCACGGAGTGGCTCCCCTACTTCCACCACGGCGACGCCAACCCGCAGTCCCCTCCTCCCTCCGTGCCTTGTGGCAATGACCATGTCCCCATGCCTGCTTGGCCATGCCTGTGCTCTCATCTGGTTCCCCTTCATCCACGTCTCATGCTACATACCTGCACCCTGCCTGCTCATGCCCGTATTTGCTTGTGCAGGTCCCCTCTGAGCATCGCAGACAGCACGGAGTGGTTCCCCTTCATCCACCACGATGCCGCCAACCCCCAGTTCCCCGCCTTCCTGCGAACCCTGCTGCTCAAGAAAGCTGCCAGCAGCACCCGCAGCTCGCAGCCCACCCCCGCCAGCAGCACCGACAGCCACCTCCTGCCACACAGCACCCCGGTCCTTGGGCCACAGTTGCACACCCTACAATCGCATGGAGTGCCACCTTACGGCGCACAGTCACATGGCGTTCAATCACATGGAGTACAGTCACATGGTGTACAGTCTCCTGCTGTACTGTCACATGGCTTACAGTCACACCCTCCTACAGTGGCCAAGTCCCCTGGAGGGCAGTCTTTGAGTGCGCATTCCGAGCTCCCTCTCTCCCACATGCCGGCTCTGCAGGAAGAAACCTCCCCTGCGCCGCACCTCCCCCGGGCAGACCTGCAAGCACACGCACGGGATGTGGAAGGAATGCCTAGTGCCGATCGCCCGACAGCGTATGCCTCTGCTTATCGCACGTCGGGGTATGAGACGACCGTTCATCAGGCTGTGGATTCTGAAATGGGAGCTGAGGTACACCCAGGTAGAGAATATCGAGCAGGAGGACCAGCGAGTGGCGTCAGCATGGATGGTGACGGGATGGGAGAAGACACACGCCCTGCTGACTTGGGTAGGGTTGAGTTGTCCTCTTGTACAAACCAATGGGGATTCACCAACAACGTTGGGTAGACTGAAGCTGCAACGGTTTTGTATCAATGTCGACTCATGTCCTATAATGGGTGATTTTGCATCTTCTGCACCCAAGCAGCCCAGTGGAAACGAATTTGTGCTCATTTATGCTCACAGGACAGGACAGGACTGCTTCCACTCCAGAACTTCCTGAAGAAATCCTAAGAAAATATGTTTGGCGCATTGACAGACAGAACGCAAGATTACACCAGGCCATGCTAGTGTTTCCTTGAGGAACGAATTAGTTCTTTCAGGAGCGCCGAGCCATCCCTTCAGGAGCATTGAGCCATCCCTTCAGGAGCGCCGAGCCATCCTTTCAGGAGCGCCGAGCCATCCCTTCAGGAGCGCCGAGCCATCCCTTCAGGAGTGCCGAGCCATCCTTTCAGGAGCGCTGAGCCATCCTTTTAGGAGCGCCGAGCCATCCTTTCAGGAGCGCCGAGCCATCCCTTCAGGAGAGCCGAGCCATCCCTTAAGGAGCGCCGAGCCATCCCTTCAGGTGCGCCGAGCCATCCCTTCAGGAGCGCCGAGCCATCCCTTCAGGAGCGCCATGCCATCCGTTCAGGAGCGCCGAGCCATTCTTTCAGGAGCGCCGAGCCATCCCTTCAGGAGCGCCGAGCCATCCCTTCAGGAGCGCCGAGCCATCCCTTCAGGAGCGCCATGCCATCCTTTCAGGAGCGCCGAGCCATCCTTTCAGGAGCGCCGAGCCATCCTTTCAGGAGCGCCGAGCCATCCCTTCAGGAGCGCCGAGCCATCCCTTCAGGAGCGCCGAGCCATCCTTTCAGGAGCGCTGAGCCATCCTTTTAGGAGCGCCGAGCCATCCTTTCAGGAGCGCCGAGCCATCCCTTCAGGAGCGCCGAGCCATCCCTTAAGGAGCGCCGAGCCATCCCTTCAGGTGCGCCGAGCCATCCCTTCAGGAGCGCCGAGCCATCCCTTCAGGAGCGCCATGCCATCCGTTCAGGAGCGCCGAGCCATTCTTTCAGGAGCGCCGAGCCATCCCTTCAGGAGCGCCGAGCCATCCCTTCAGGAGCGCCGAGCCATCCCTTCAGGAGCGCCATGCCATCCTTTCAGGAGCGCCGAGCCATCCTTTCAGGAGCGCCGAGCCATCCTTTCAGGAGCGCCGAGCCATCCCTTCAGGAGCGCCGAGCCATCCCTTCAGGAGCGCCGAGCCATCCTTTCAGGAGTGCCGAGCCATCCTTTCAGGAGCGCCGAGCCATCCTTTCAGGAGCGCCGAGCCATCCTTTCAGGAGCGCCGAGCCATCCCTTCAGGAGCGCCGAGCCATCCCTTCAGGAGCGCCGAGCCATCCTTTCAGGAGCGCTGAGCCATCCTTTTAGGAGCGCCGAGCCATCCTTTCAGGAGCGCCGAGCCATCCCTTCAGGAGCGCCGAGCCATCCCTTAAGGAGCGCCGAGCCATCCCTTCAGGTGCGCCGAGCCATCCCTTCAGGAGCGCCGAGCCATCCCTTCAGGAGCGCCATGCCATCCGTTCAGGAGCGCCGAGCCATTCTTTCAGGAGCGCCGAGCCATCCCTTCAGGAGCGCCGAGCCATCCCTTCAGGAGCGCCGAGCCATCCCTTCAGGAGCGCCATGCCATCCTTTCAGGAGCGCCGAGCCATCCTTTCAGGAGCGCCGAGCCATCCTTTCAGGAGCGCCGAGCCATCCCTTCAGGAGCGCCGAGCCATCCCTTCAGGAGCGCCGAGCCATCCTTTCAGGAGTGCCGAGCCATCCCTTCAGGAGCGCCGAGCCATCCTTTCAGGAGCGCCGAGCCATCCCTTTAGAAGCGCCGAGCCATCCCTTCAGGAGCACTCATATTACCCCAGCAGCATAGCAGCAGCTGTCAAGCCTACCCCCCCCTCCCCTGGTTTCAGCAACCCACTCTCCCACTAACACCCTGCAAAAGCAGGGTGCAAAAGGGGTACTGCCATTGTCGTGCTTCCCCGCCCACACCCCGCCAACCCGCCTGCACTCCCCAGCTGCTGCTATCTGCTCGCTGTACTGCCTTTAACCTTCGTATTCCCGTCCTCTCATCTGCTGCTGACTCTGCTTTCGGTTTTTTTTTTTTTTTTTTTTTTTTTTTTTTTTCCGGTTTTCTTTTCTCTTTTTTTCTTTCTTTCGTCAATCTTGCTGTTTTTTTCTTTTCTTTTCTTTTTCTTTTTTAAGCCACGATCTGTTTTGCGCAGCAACATTCAAGGCCGCCATGGGCGCCGTGCGTTTGCTGCCACCACGACCCTGGACACGCTGCTGGGCCTCTTGCTCGCAGCTTCGGAATTCACTCCCTGTGCCTCCCTCCGTCACAGAAATGTGGATCTCACCTATATTGTAGGAATAGTTGTTCGTATAGCAAGGCTACTCCGTAGCAGACATACTTATGCCATACCTACTGTATAGCTACTCCGTATTTCTGGTCCTGGTATTTTGGGACGTCGGCACAGCAGCGCATTTCGGCGTCGGGATCAGGGTCGTTCCATCCGCGCGCTTCATGGCTGCTCCTCTGCTATCCGGTTTGGGGACGCGTGATGGCAGGAGGAGCGGTGGAATACTCCCTGCTGGCGTCTTTTCCGCTGAGTTCGCGCAACGGGCAGCTGACGCTGTTGTCGAAACCAACTCCTTTGCATCCGACGCTACACGATCCGACTCAAATGGTGCAGCACTTGGCTGTGCTAGAACAGACGCAGCTCGACCTGACCTGAGGAGTTCTGCTACCGGATCGTGCGTTGCTTGGTCGGTGTCCGAAGTCACAGCTGCCAGTGGCAACTCTAGCAGCGTTGCCGCTGCAGCTGTGCCGTCGCGGGAACGAATTTCGTTGCAGCCCGTGTGTGTTCGTTGGGACTGTGAAGTGACCGCTGCTCTGAACCGCGATGTTCTCCAGCTCGTTCTTCTTTGCTTCCCATCCAGCCATTCCATTCTTCCCGTTCTTCTCTTCACTCTCGCCTATGCCTGCACTCCCTCCCTCCCATACAGCCATCCCTCAGGGGCGGGTCAATGCCGTGCCGCCCATTATCATGGGCCGTGCCTTTATGCCTCGTTCACCTCTTCTCCTTTCCTCACCCTTCCCCTCCTCTCCATACCCCCCTCTCGTTTGGGCGGAGAAGCCGTTTTCCATGCACCTGCTTTTTCTACTCCCACCTTTCCTCATTCTTCCCTCCCCCTCTCTTTCCCCCTCCCTCCAAGAGGCTTCTTTCTCCCTCTCACCGTTCACATTTTCTTCCTTCTCCCTTCCACTCCCCTCAGTTCAACACACTGGGTGCATAAGGTCACTCTCGTGGGTCTCACCAACTCTGTGCCGCCCATTTCTGTCTCCCCTGTCTTATTCCTTCCTCTATTCCTATCCTTCCTTCATCTCCTCCATTTTCTCCGTCTTCTTCTGGATCCAGAAATGGAAAATCCATTCCCCATGGAGCTAATCAGCACAATGCTGCCGCCCATTGTCATGCACTCACGTATCGTGTCATGCAGGGGATGTACGTGAGGGGGAAAAGGGGAAGGGAAAGAGAGGGGGCTTGGGTGGGGAGGGGCGGGGGGAGAGGAGGACGCGCAGTGGCCTACAAGAGGAGGTGCATGAGACGGGGAGAGGGGGGGGGGGGGAGTTGGGGGGGCAGAGCCTGTCCTCTCCACTTCTGTTGTGTGCGCTGTTGTGTGCATTTCTGTTGTGTGTGCTGTTGTGTGCACTTCTGTTGTGTATTTTGTGTGCATTTTTGTTGTGTGTGATGTTGTGTGCATTTCTGTTGTGTGTGCTGTTGTGTGCATTTCTGTTGTGTGTGCTGTTATGTGCAGTTGTGTGTCTGATCTTTTGTGTGCTACGTGATAGTACGACCCATGGTGCAATATCGCACATGCTCAATACACCAAACAAACCTTTAAAAGGAATTACGCCCTTATGTATTATGATGGGAAAGTTGTGTATTTGTTTTACATGAAATTATGATCAAGAGCATGATTCCATCTTGTGAATACATTATTTTTATGCTCACCTTAAACGTAAAACGTGCTGAGTAGTATTTAGTCAGCCTTGAATAAAGAAACTTCTGTAACATATGGCTACAACTTTGATAATATCACCAACTTTGAGTTGTTACAGAAGAGTAACCTCACCCTTGCGGTTTCGCACAACAGTCGCCTTCGCCCTCCTCTCCAGGAATTCCTCTACACTGGTAGATTTGAGGCCTGGCAGTGACACCATCTTCAAGAATCCACGTCAAGCACTGCTCTCTGCTCTTGCATGGCAACGGTTCTCAGACCAGCTAACACCATGCCTGGTGCGAATACGACCATCAAATTTATTCAGTGAGAGCCCGAACAGCAGTGATAGCTGTTCACGGTCGAGTTGGCACCTTGATCGGTCCTTGAGTCAGAAGCATTTGTTGGTTGATTATGCATGAGGAACATGTTCATGGAGCAATCAGTGTGCATAAGCCAACTGTAAACGCTAGCTCGCCACCCGCTTAGTGTTGTCATCGGAAAAAACCGGGGTCTGTTTTGGGATGATTTGGGTTAGTTTGGGGTATGTAGGGTTCGCTTCGGTATGATTCCCTCACCAGTTGTCTAGTTGTGATGGGTTAGGCGGAAATATACTGTGGACCGAGTGGAGTGTGGATCGTAGCCTACGGGGTGATTGCACGCGACACTGTTCTGAATGGCTGCTTCTCGTCTTTTCTCGCACTGCTGTAATTCGCAGGGCCCCATGAGAACGCGTGGAGAGCAGTATCGATTGGTGTTGCTGGCAACACGTGTATCAAGGACAGGTCGTCTTTACGCGGGTGCCACTTGTTTTTGAGACACTTGTGGCCATTTGTTCCGATCTTTGTTTCGCTAATTGTTCTGGTTACCCCTTCCACGACCACCATTGCGAAGGCGTAAAACGAAGTAACTGCCGCGTATTGTAGTGTGTTACATGCGTTTAGGGCATCAATAGTTTCGCATTTGTTTTAATTGTTCGTAAACACCTTTGTGTTTCCGTTATTGTTGTGTTGTATATGTTATACGCGCAATCTTCATGAATAAAACTCGGGAATACATATTCGCATATTAATACAAATTTAGGGTCGTGAAATAAAAATGATTAATTTTCATAATACTAGACAACCCATACCATGAACAGCAATAGCGATGATTAACTAATCAATAGTCATGTACAGTCAGCACTACGATTCCTATTCTACCACCTGCAACTAAACACCAGGCACGGGCAGGCCGTTAGGAAAAATCTCCGACTCGTAGCCTTCAATGAGAATCTTCACATTACGGGACATTTTGAAGCCAGCAGGGGCAGCAGGTTCCCAGATAGCCACATCCCCATTGTCATACATCTCCTTGATCATAGCAACAACGTGCTGGATCTTCACCTGGACGTTCTCCTGGTTCACCATCTCTGATGTGTCAAGAGACGGATTGAGCCGGCCCCTGGCATTAGCCAGAGGCCATTCGACCTGTGCAAGAGAAACAAGGGCATAATACATTAGACTAGGCAGTCATTTGAAACCTGAGAAGCTTGGAACAGCATAGAAAGAAAAGTAATTACCACGTTCAGGGCATAGCCCACCATCAGGATTTTAACCGTGATGGTGCTCGCCTTCTTGCTGCCAAAGCCGCGCAGCAGGACGAGCTCCAAGCTGCTATTGGCGAGATAGCGGCCGCCAGTCACCACATGCCATTTTGAGCCGTAAACGGCTGGAAGGGGGGGGGGGAGAGATGCAAAGGAAAGAGTTAAATGTTGCATGGGCGGCCGAGCTCAGAGAGATATGGCAAGAGCAGCTTATGCAGGCGGATCTAAACTTACGATGCATGTGGTGCAGAGTCCACTTCATCGGCGACCTGCTGAAGGTGGGTGCCACGCCCTCCTCTGCCAGCTCCTTCCACTTCGTCTCGGGCACGCAACCCCCGGGCCCACGACCGTACAACTTGATGTCAGCGTTGTAGTTACTCCTCTTCTCTGAAATCTTCCTCATCGCAATGTTCTCCTTGCCCGGGTTGTTGCACATGACGTAGTAGAAGATGTCCTTGCTTACGCCCATCTCCGCGAACTTGTCAGACATTGCTTCCCGGTGCTCAGCCCATGACGGGTAGAACCTCATCAGCCAGGCTGGGGCGGAGTTAGTTTGGTATGTGTAGGTTTCCAACGACTTTTTCGGAAAAGCACAGCATGGGATCAGCATGAGTAAAAAATACAGAGATATCAGTAAGAGAGCATTCGAGGGTGTTTAAAACCAAGCAGATGCTAATAAGACAACACGTCAAAGATATTACGTATGGGGTTAAGAGAAATGGGTTGAAACCTACCGCGAAAAGGTGGTCCTGCTCAAGAGACGCGGGAACGACGACACAACCGTTGGCATCTCGCGGAAGCGCGTTGAGATCGTACGTGGGGTGCAACGCTGTCGACACCAGGGCTCTCTGCATGTCGCCAGTGTTCACCAGCTGTTGGCGCAGAGCGAGCACGAGCTGAGTCTGCTCATCGTAGCGCAGGGATAACGTGGCGTACTCGGCCTCCTTCGCCTCGAGCGCCAATGTCAAGTCGAGACCGCGCTCTTGCGTGGCGAGAAGAGTTGCATTCAGATCAGCGATTTCCGAGCGCAGTCGCATCGCCTCTTGCGTACATGCAGGCGCGACCTCTGGGTAACAGGGTAAGACGATACGGATAAGAAACAGTGGAGACACAAGTTCGTGTAAAAAAAAAGTTGCAGGGTATAGGGGTGGTCGTACCCCATGATAACTTTGCTTGCGAAAAGCTATGGAAAGTTGACAAAATACGGAAACGGATATCATTAAAACGATAAGAACGGTGAGGAGGCAACGGGTCTCGACGAGTACGCTAAGGGAGAAAACGGTTTACCAGTTCGCCCTTAACAGGTACGGCCAAGCCGTGAGCGGTGATGACTGTCGGCAGCACACTCTCGGGAGGAACGCCATCGGCGGCGTGTTCTAGTGGCTCAGTCAAATCGAGAGGGGCGGAGGTTCCTGGAGCTGGAAGAGGAAGCGTTGCAGTAGCTGCTGTGTGGGCAGTCTGACCAGCTATCGAGGAGGACTTCGCCAGCACCGCGGTCATTTCCGCTTGCTTCTATTTCTTGTGGAAGTTGGGTGGCAGGACGAACCCTTGGGCCTTCAGATATGTCGCCATCGCCAGGTACTCGTCGAGCTGGTCGCAGTCGTCATCGCACGACTGATCATGCA